CATGATTACTCAAATGCTTTTTTCATGAGACTGTAATGCTATTACATTATAAAAGCACTTGACAGAAGGTGTTTATTAGCATTTTCATTTATGAAGTGTGGTTTTTAGGAGTCTATAAACTGGTTTGAGTTCAGCATAAAATGTCTATGAAGAGATTCTGGGCACCAGTATTTTAAAGCCTGGTCATTTCAATATTCAGTAAAGAGGATTTGTGTCACAAATATACATCTGAAAATAGAATCTGTTCATATCAGCAACCATTCATGAAATATTTAATAGTAATTAATGCTTTCATTGCCATTTTTAAGGGCATTATAATTTACATCACCACAATCAGGGCTTTAAATCTCAGCACACCTCCTGTGAGCTGGATTGGCCCATGGATTGGAGGTGAGAAACAGTGGTAATCTCAGGGGTGCTCAGGAGGTTTTGGTCTAGCATTTATGGTAGGAGCTAACAGGGGCCTGGCTGTTGTACTGCACTGACCTGTGCCACTGATTCTTTCCAGTCATTAGTCTCCTTACTGCAAAAATAAGAACAGTATTGTTTATCAGCTATTACTGCTCTTAGCTGTGCCAAATGCTTGGGGATAGATGAGTGAAGAAAAAGGCATTCAGCACATGGGAATCATTACTATTGATCTATAAAAACATTGAATGATAAATGTTTCTTTTTCTTTTCTTTCAGATTATTACTTTAAGAGATTACATTCCCAAAATCATTGGTCCAGATGCTTTTAATCTGTATATTGGCCTTTATACAGGTTATGATCCCACAATGAATCCTACGGTTTCTAATGTATTTTCAACAGCTGCTTTTCGTTTTGGTCATGCAACAATCCAACCAATAGTAAGACGATTGAATGCACAGTATTTAGATGATCCAGAACTCCCAAATCTTCATTTGCATGAAGTTTTCTTTAGTCCTTGGAGGCTCATTAAAGAAGGTATGGTTTTATTTAAACTGGTTTTTTTTCCAGAATATTGTAATTTTTTTCAAAGTTACCTATCTTGAATTAGGAATAGGAACATTTATTTAATTGCATTACTGATTAAAGTTGTTGAATGGGATCCAGAGCACTAACATAAACTGGAACAATTATTCTGATTTGAATAGTTGTCTGAATCAGACAAAAGTTACTCTGGAGATTAAACCGGTATGGTAGATTAACAATAGATTGATGATCAATGGTTGATGATAAAGATATTTCATATCTTTTTTTGTGGATAAATGTATTATCAGGTTGTAAATTTTCTTACACTTGAAGAAGTAGATGAATCCTTTTCATAGCACTATAACTTCTATTTGAACCTGCAGCAGATTTTTGCATGTATTTGAATGTAAAAGCCTGTGTGGCCAAAGTTCAAAAAACATAGACACATACATGCATTTGCAGTTGTTAAGAAAGTTATAATGGCTTATATATAATATTATATTATTTTTGTGTTTAAAGGTGGCTTGGATCCTTTACTAAGGGGTCTTTTAGCACATTCAGCAAAACTGCAGGTGCAAGATCAACTGCTGAATGAGGAGTTAACAGAAAAACTGTTTGTGTTGTCTGATAGTGGTTCACTTGATTTAGCATCGTTAAATTTACAGCGTGGCCGTGATCATGGACTCCCAGGTCTATTGATTTTTCTTGAATTTTCTTCCAACTGGTAACTGAACTATCACTACTTATGTTTGGGATGTAATTGTTAGCTTTTAAATAATATCTTTGGTAATCAGAAAAGTAATTTAAGTCTCTTTTAAATTTTAAGTTTCTAATATTTTTAACTTTGATGGAAACAAAATACTCCCCAGCATTTGAAATAAAACAACCTGTTAAGTCTGGAAGGACAGTACTAGTGAATGGATCTGGGTATGCTCGATGTAGGTACCAAGGAGTGGGGTTTCTGCCTGCAGCAGCTACTTGCCATCAGCAGGCTGTCCCCAGCCTGTGGGAGACGTCAACTCAGACACAACTTCATTATATCTCTGCTGACCACAAAAGAGGTTGAGATGTCTCCAGGAGTGGTTTAGATGGCTTAATTAGATGTACACCTCATTTTGAGAAACATTACACATTTGTGCCTGGTTTTTGCACTAGATTTCTTACTCCAGTCAGCCCAGGGTAAGATTCAACTAACAGTCAAGGAGCATTAGTTCATTAGGCCATGGGTGTACCAGCTTAGAGGAAGACTATGCTGGAGCTTAGTTCAATTTGATTGCATCAGCTGTTAAAATATACAGTAGGTTCCCAGTCCTGTGTAAGAACCGCTTAAAAGCATGCCACAGCTTCTGAGAGCAAAGGTAGCAACCTTCAGCATGGCAGACAGGACTTCTTTCATTTTCATTTCTAAAACTATGTTCAAGGACTCCCTGCCTGATCAGATCACTTGTCTTCATGAATAAAGAACAGACCTGGCTGCCCTTCTATGTGCTGAGCCCGATGTACCACCCATTGACTGATTGTCAAAGGACATTAATGTCTCTGGGTGACAACCCTCTCCATTTCTGCTACGCGATTCTGCAGCTAGGAATACACAAGTTGTTGGCCCTGGACAGTAGGAATGAAGTCTGACTCTGGCCTGGAGTTTAAAACTCTCACCTACATGAGGGTAGAAATGAAGGTTTGGTCTCCCAGACCAGAAATTAAAGTTTTGTTGAGAGATGAGGGGGGTTAATCCCAATGATGTAAAAGAATGTAAAAGAAAAATATTTTCCAGAGACCTGGACATTTGCCCCACGACAGTCTTCTTAGTAAAGTGCTTTAGTTACTAACTTCATTCAGGTTATTTCTTGCCCGCTCTTCATCTAATTCCTATATTCCTAGTCTGGAAATCTCAAGATACAGTGCATGCTTCTGTTATCTATTATCATGTTTTCATTGCTTAAATATGGAAGAATTGTTTTAAAGCTTTGTTTTCCTTCACAAAATTGATGTAGTCATTGCATATCCTCTAGTTTCAGATCCTGCCATCATTTCCCCAATCAATTTAACCAATAACAATAAGCCCATTTTTAAACATAACTGCCTATTACTACGATTAAGGTTGTCAGAATCCAGTACTTACTTATAAATTTATTAATTTCATATATCAACCTTAACAGTCAAGTCTAATCTTCTTTTTAACATAATATTTACAGGTTACATTGACTGGCGAGAATTCTGTGGCTTACCAAAACTGGAAACTCAAACTGACCTGAATACAGTAATAAACAATCATAATGTCACTGAAAAAATCATGGAATTGTACCATAATCCTAGCAATATTGACGTTTGGCTTGGTGGTCTGGTAGAAGACTTTCTTCCAGATGCTAGAACTGGTCCTCTGTTTGCGTGTATAATCGGAAAGCAAATGAAAGCACTAAGGGATGGTGACCGGTGAGTTTATTGATGCTGTTGAACCATCTGTGCAAAAAAGCAGAAGCAATGGAGATTTTACAGATATGTGAGGACACTTCCCAGAACATAAGAACACATGACACTTAAATATGCTTTAAACAAATTATTCCCAACCACTTCCATATTTTTATCTTAAATCCTTCAGTTTGGATGGGTGAGCTTTTGCTTATTCTTCTTTGGGCTGTTCAGTCTCCATTCCAGATGGTATGGCGATTGGTATTGAGATGCCCAACTTTGCACTTCTGGTGGAAACGGAGGGTGCCACCAGCAGTTAATTGTGCCGGGGCAGGTAATTTCTGTGTGCATGCATGTAGGACTGTGCAGGCTTTATCTACCCAGTCCTTGAGGGCTGCACTGGGCTCAGGGTCCTTACCTGGAAGAACCTCGACATTTTCCACGGCAACCACAGCAAAGTCAGAAGGGATAGGCAGAGAGCTGTAATTCAGGCTTCCTGCAGGGGGTAATAAAAATATCGTGTACCAGGTTTTATATGAACCAGGAGTGCAACATGCTCTCAGAACTGCCTTATTGGACACAGCATAGGATGTCCCTTCACACAACCCTGCACAACCACCACCGAGGTCTTGTGCCAGTTCAACCCTCAATACCAGGACGGCAGGAGAAACGCAGCTTCAGGTCACAAAGGGATGCAAGATGCAATTTATATCTTGCTTCTGCTCCTGAAGCAATTATAAAGCCAACCTTTTTTTCATTTCCATCATGTCCTTGTGGCAGTAATTTTGAATCTCATGAGAAGACTAATTTTAAACTGCTCACACCATGCGAGCAGTGCTGTTTTAAGTACATCTGGTCCTCACGCTTACCTTTAAGCTTCTCTCGTAAGTCACTGTTGTGGAAAAAAATCATTATGTAAATAAGCATCCAAGGTAGAATTTAAATCTGAACTTTTAAAAAATGTCAATTAATTAGCTCACAGGAAAAAGTGATGTTAGTCATAAAGGTGGTATCTTATTAGCACAAACTGTATAGACAACAAACATTCCACTCAGCTGTGTTAAAAACATGGTTGAAATTCTTCTGAATCATACAGGCATACTTGACCCTATCTGGGGAAGGATAATCTATCAAGGCCCTTCCAGTCTTGTTTCCATTATGCAGTGCCTTATGATACTACTTATTATTCAGTGTCTTATGATATTAGTAGCATTAATTAAACTTAAGCATAATTTAACGTTAACTTCATACTGAGAAAAAGGGAGTTCTAGTAATAAAAGAATTCTTCAAGTTTCTGCCACAAAGTTCGTGTCTACTAACTTAAATGTGAAAAGGTATTCTGTCATTAATACTATGATAAGGAACTATCTAAGAGAAATTAGAAGTACGTAACAACATGCTATAGTTGTCACACGCTAAATGTAAGAATGGAAAAGTCTCACATTCATTGCAGTGGCTTGTCAGATAAGAGTATTGGGTATTATCTATATCCATGCTAGTAACGCTACATGTTTACTAGATACCCTAATTGACATGTCAGTAAGTAGTGATGTCAAAACATCTCTTGTAACATACCCGTTTCAGTACAGAAATCAGGACTAAGTGGAATTTTTGACTGACTGAACTTCATCCTGATGATAGCCTTAAAATCTTTTGTCAGTAACCTGACAAAATGTGAAGGGATTTCTTTTTCCAGTATACTAAACTCAGGCACTGTCTTATCCTCAACCAAATCACCTGGAACAAATTTTTTGTTCCATCAGATCTTACGTTCTTTTTCTGTCTCTTCCTACTCTGAATCTTTTTGTGATCTCAGGATTTGCAGTACTTGGACAAAAATCCTGAAGCTGACTTTGTCATTCTTTGAATAGGGAGACTTGCACCTATTTTTTTTAAAAATATTTCCTTTTTTTTTTTCTTTTTTTTTCTTTTTTACTCTAACATTGTAATATTCACCTGTAAAATTTTGGTCACCCGATACAAATCTGTTGGAGCAAACTTTGTTAGAGCAAACACCTGTCTACTGGGTAGATTAAAAACTAATGATCTGCTCAGCCTTCTCTGAAGCATAGATAAAACTGAATTTTCTAATGAGAGTAGAATAGGTTTTAACATGTATGAAAGACAAAATGAAACGTGTAGGAGAGCTGCGTGGAGCAAAGTCTTTGATGGCTTTGGTTATTGGAAGGGGCCTGGGAATGGTCAGTGAGGCTTCAGGATGCTCTTAGAAGTTTGGGGACAGTGTGTAGGTGGGAGGTAGGAAGAAAGCTTCTTTTTTTCCTCTCTCTCCAGTGCCTCCACCTCTCCTGCACTTCTTGTCACAGTGCAGTGCTGATGAGGTATGGGACATTCACCCCATCCCTGGTCCTGTAGATTGCCTCGTCTTACAACACAGGCAAAGTGGAACAGGTTTCTCCCCAAATTGTCCTGCTGTAGGTAACTATTTGCCTGTATCTAAAGCCAGTTCTCCAAAGTTTCACATACACTTACCTTACTTAACTGGGTTTTATGGCTATGAGTGTCTTTGGGCTTCTGAGTACACTCCTGTTGGCAGCAGGATCCAATTTGCCCTGAAAAGCCCCCCAAGAGCACACTAGCAGCCCTCATGTTCCCCAGAACACAAGCAGGACTATCAGACTTCTCATTTGCATGGTACTGTTTCAGGGGCTCATAAAAACTCTAACACACTGCACACTTGTCAGGTTTGCACAGGGTCAACAGTCAACATCACTGTTCCCTTCTGATCAGAAAAATGTAAACACAAACCCCACAGACCTTTCTAGAAACTCCAAACTTTTTCCCCCAGTGTTATGGATGCTCAAGTACTGTGTTAAACCTGAGGTCAATTTGTACAGTGTGATCACATCCATATTCTACTGCTAATGGTCCTGACATGTTACCTCAAATCCTACCTTAGCATTCGGGAAAATCCTAGTGGCCTGAGTACTATAGGGAACTATCTTAGCAGTTTAGCAGTGCTTAACATTGTGTAATGTACTAATGCAGATGTGCTATCAAACTCTCCAGAAATGTTTTTTGCCATTTGTGAAATGGCTTTATGTATAAAATGTTTATATCGTCTTTTTCCCCCCAGTGTTTTATTTCCCTTTCTTTTTATCTTTAAATACATAGGTATGTGTGTATGCACCATATATATTATATACAATATATATAATTTAATAGATACAACTTTGTAACACCAACTGGTTCTTCTGTTCTGCCACCTCACTCTTGATCTGACAAAATGGAAAAAGCAGCTCCTCTCTGTTCCAGCCAATCCTCTTAGCTTACCTTTTCGTATGAACAAAAGCACAATTACTGGCTTAAAATTTTCTGCTATAATTAATCTGCATATCTACAGCTTTTGCAGCAAATTAAGAACTCCATGTTAAACAGAGAAGTATTCAGCAATACTTGTTTTCATAGCAACCATTCTGTAATGGCAAGCAGAATTCAAAAGCTATGGTATGGGGAAATCTATTATGGCTACTTCTGTAAATCTCCTGCAGTTTATAGTTAAAACAATTTATGAGTGCACAGTGAATGCTAGTGTGCATAAAATAAAGCATCCAGTTCAAACAAATTAGTTCCAAGTTTTTCTCTCAAGATTCTAACTTTTTTTTGTGGCAATGTATCATCAAGGAAAAGCAATTCTGCATATGTGAATAATTAATAATTTTAACTATGTGATTTTAGCACACCATCTGAGTTGACAAGTACATCAGACTCGCACTAGCCTTTTCATGACTTTCAAGCTGGGTATGTAAGTCTGTAGATCATGGTGCTTACTTTTGTTCTTTTGTTGTTGTTTCCACCTACATTTTGCTGTAATTCTTTTTTTTTTTTTTTTTTTTTTTGTCTTTTCCATAAGATACTGTGAAAGTAAGAATAACCAACTCTTTGAATTTGTTCAAAATGTTTCTATCAATCTTTCCAGATTTTGGTGGGAAAACGATAATGTTTTCACAGAAGCTCAAAAGCATGAACTCAAAAAACACTCATTGTCCCGCGTGATTTGTGACAATACAGGGATTTCTCAAGTGCCAGCAGATGCTTTTCAACTTGGAAAGTTTCCACAGGATTTTAAGCATTGTGACAATATACCTGGGATGAATTTAGAAGCTTGGCAAGAATTCTATCAGGAAGGTAATCTGGTAATTACCAGTCTTTTCTGATGGGGAAGAGTAATCAATAGTTAGAGCATTGACCTTGGTTACAGCAGGTCTTGAGTTCCTGGTTTGCTGTAGACCTTTAGTACTTTTGCCACTTAGAAAATGGATTTAGGTCTCTCTCTCCTTCTTTCTCAACTTCCTCTGTAAAAAATATAGTGTTTGCCAATTTCACTCTGATAGCATGAATGGCTTGTGAGATACCCAGACTTTACGGCAATTGCGGCAGGAGTTCTTAGAAAATATTAGAAAATATTAACCAAGAACTATGAAGAACATACTGTTAGAAGATAACACTAATTTTAGAAGGATTATAAGTCAAATCTCAGGTGCTCCATATAAATTTGTGTTCAGAAATGAAAAATTAAAAAAAAATTCACTTAATTTATGGAAGTAATGGAGAATAATGTCCATTTTCAAGGGCAAGGTGGTAATTTTTTTAAGAGCTTGTAATACAGTCTTTTTATTTGTAGAGGAAATGTGTGGAACACCAAAGAGTGTGGAAAATGGTGATTTTGTATATTGTTCAGAGTTTGGAAAATCTACAGTGACTTATTCCTGTCAATATGGATTTCAATTGCAAGGAGAAGAGCAATTAACCTGCACAAGGAAAGGATGGAATTTTGAGGCTCCCATTTGTATAGGTATCTATTTTTTTGCTGTTGTTTCTGAATTTTCTAAAAGCTAAAGTCCAGCACAGCTCATCAAAGTGAACACCCCCCTATGCTCTCTTCTAGTCAACCTTCTGGATTTATAGGTACAATAACATGATGATGTGAAACTCTCTTTGCTCCAGAATTACTATCTCAATCAATCTCTACCCATCCTGATTTAGCAATCAAGTTGATGATAGGAAAATGTCACTAAAAATTACATAATTGAGCAAAAATTGAGTCTCTTAACAACCAGTAGAAAAAAAGCAGCAAATCAGAATTATACATTGCTTTTTCCTACATCCAATGTAACAGTAAGACAAACAGTTGTCATTTTCTTAGCATTGTTTCAATGAATGTTCTAGATACAAAATGAGCTCAGCACTAGTAGTTCATGTATCATCCTAATAAGTTAAGCAAAAGTGACAAAGAAAAAATACTGTGAATAAGTGAAATTAAGCAAATTAATTATCATTTCAGTTCCAACCTCCCTCTCCAAATACCTGTGAAAAGATTTGCCAGAACTGAATTACTTATGCAGGTACAAAAGTAGAGCAGGTGAAAAATCAGTAAAAAGATATTGCCTTTCGACATTTCATGCACATTTTCAGGTGAATACTTTTCTGTTATTTTAATTGTTCTTTTATATTCTTTTTTTCTTTTACCTTATTTTTAGTGTTTAATAAAATAGGATAGGAATAGAGAGAATGTGGCAAACATTTAGTGTTTACACCAAGTCAAGGACTTTACAGCTTCCCGTGCCCTGCCAGTGAGAAAGCTGGGGATGCACAAGAAGCTGGGAGGGGACACCGCCAGGACAGCTGACCCAAACTGGCCAAAGGGATATTCCATACCATATGACATCATGCTCAGCCTATAAACTGGGTAGAGTTGTCTGGGGGGACAGCAGCTGCTGCTCAGGGACTGGCTAGGCATCAGTCAGCAGGTAGTGAGCAATTGTTTTTCATTTTCATCAGTTGTTTTTCTTGGGTTTTATTTCT